GTGTGTGTGTGTGTGTGTGTGTGTGTGTGTGCCGTGTGTGCCGTGTGTGTGGGGGCCGTGGTACAGGCAGTACTGGCACCTTGCTGACACCTAATCTTTACTATCCCCACATGAGTTTTATCTTAAAAATTTGTAAAATTAAGCTAATGTAAATGTAGACTATTTTTGGTAATCTGGAGATTTCTGCTGAAATTCATTACACGGAAGCTAATGTTAAAATAAACTGGTTTATTAAGAAACACTAAAACAAATAAAACTGTTGATATAATCAGGTTTAATAATAAGTTAACACCATTCTTTTTTCAGTTCTAGGGATTGAACCCAGGGCCTTGTACATGCTCAGCAAGTTCTATACCACTGAGCTCAAACCCCAGCCAGCCCTAATTGATTGTTATTACAAGTCACAGTCTTCAGGCAAATGACAGTCTGGTTGTAGAAGTATTGTGTGCAGTTAGCTACTCTTGTAAGACTTCTATAATTAGTTCATCAGGAATTTCGTCCTCTGTACTGTTGTAACTGAGAAGACTGTTCTCTGCAACATCAGCTAGTTCAGCATCTTCAGCCACTTGTAACAAGCAAGCATCATCACTGCCACTGTCCCAGTCAGCATCAAAAGATGCACCTGGTGATGGCTTGCAGGGTGGCGCCTCAGGAGGATTCATGGGTTTCTTGTTGCCCATGTCATCTGCTATAACCTCTTCTTCCTTTATTTCAATGAGGAAGAGTGGAGGGAGCCAGCAGGATAGGAAGATAAAGGATATTTAGCCAGTACATCATTTTACCATACACACCAAAACAGTTTACACTGAAGTGAATATTCTAGATGAATACTAGCTTGACAACAGACTTAAGCCTCTAATTTATAAAGTAGCTACAATAATAGCAGGTGCACTACTCTATCCAGCTCTTCATTGAGCTAGTCTTGCAAACTTTTCTGCCTAGGATAGCCTCAAACCACAATCCTTCCAATCTGGACTTCCTGAGTAGCTAGGATTATAGGCATGCTTGACAAGCACTCAGCTGTTCTGTTACTTCCAAGCATTTTTTAACCTAGTAAGTAGTTTAGCAAGAATATGGCTGTCGGTTTTTATATTACATGTATTTGTTTTATAGGAGACATCTTAAAAATCAGACTGCATAAATACTAGATTGAGTTTTCTAGAATATAAACTTAAACTTGGTCATCTTGTAGCTGGTAGTTTATTCTAAGTGTAAAACATGTAAAAAAAAAAAGTAGTGCTGATAGATGTAACTCAAAAAAATGGGGGGTATAAAATTAAGTCAGAAAATAGAACAACATAAAACATTACTAAAATCTTGTAAAATGTTAGTAAGATATGCAAAAATAGATATAGACAGTTCATAATAGAAATATAGGTGGCAACCCCACAAAGTTCACAAAGAAATTTAAAAAAAAAAAGTGAAATTTCACTTGTCTTTTTACTTAGCAGAGATGAAAAGGTCATTTCCTGTCATTTCTGTGGACAGCAATTCAGTTAACAGGTACTACTAACATACTTTTCATACTTTAGGGGAAAATATATGGGCAAATAGCATATACATTATGACTTTTTTAACAGTATGCAAACATAAATTATGGAAGATATATGCTAAAAAATTGATATTTGGGCCAAATTGAGTGAGAGTTTTTCCATTTTTTAATGTATTTTCTGTTGCTTTTTTTTCCTGCAAAGAGTGTAATTTAAATAAATATAAATCATTAAGAGAAATTAAGTGTTGAGTAAGACCTGGCAGAACTTAACTTGCATGTTCCCTTTTACTTTCAAAGATGCATCCTTCAGAAATGGTTGTTCAAAAAGACAAAGATGAGTGTTTTACTTTGTAAAGCAAAAAAGGAAAACTTCTTAAATTCTGGGACCAGGTCCATCGAGGATACAATTTGTTATGCAGCAGTAAAAAAGAAGAAGCCGCACATTGTCAGACATAAGTGAAGACAGGAAAACAACTCCAATAAGTAAGAACAGTCACTACTCAATGTTTAGATGCTACCTGGTCAAGCATGGTAGTGCATGCCTGAAGTCTCAGCACTGAGGAGGTTGAAGCAATTGCAACATTAATTAGATGCCAGTCTGAGCTATGTAGCCAGATGTTATTTAAAAAAAAAAAAAAACTAAACACAGCTGGGTATTGCTCATAGGTCATTTATGATTCTGTGCCAGAAATGAATTTGGAAAGAGAAAGACAAAAAGCTGCACTTACTTCTTTGAGAAAGAACCGGAGACTGACTTCAGCAGGCAATGGAAAACCTGAATCAGATGGGGGGGTGGGGAAAGCTTTTATATAGACATCTAATTATCTCATTTTTTACTTTGTGGTAAATGTAAAAATTAAGAACTCACAGTCAGATTTGAAGTTAACTGCTTTACATACAGGGTCATGACATTTTTGATACCAAACTTCATTTTTCAGATCAACTAGAATCCTGGATATATAAAGAAAAGGAAGTATTAATGCCCATACCTGATAGAAATAAAATTCAGTTCTTTGTTATCTATAAAATGTGCCTAGCAGGAAAACATGGAATATACTGGAAGTGATTGAGTAGTGGTCACATGATAAAGATCTATATATACTCAGGAAGTGTGCTTTTTTTTTTTTTTTTTAGTATGTAAAGCTTTCTCAACACTGTAAAAATTCAGGTGGTTGAATACTGGTTTGGAACAAGATGAGACTGAGGATTTAAAAAAAAATGTGCCTAGGACTTAAAGATGGAGGAAAATCCAAGAGTTAAAGAATGACAATAGATATACAGCAACCCAAATAAACTAGTTGCTAGAAAAAGTCACAAAATGTGGAAAAATGACTAGGATCCCCTCCAAAGATGCAACAGTTCTCACCATATCCACCAAATACTTCCTCAAAAGAGGTGAGAAAAAAACTTGATAGCATTGTAAGGACAGATAATTCACCCACAAACACAGTATTAAGTTTTTAAAAAAGTATGCTCTAGCCAGGTGCTGATGGCTTACATCTGTAATCCTACCTACTCTAGACACTGAGATCTGAGGATCACAGTTCAAAGCCAGCCCCAGCCCAGGCAGGAAAGTCCATGAGACTCTTTATCTTCAATTAACCACAAGAAAACGGGAAGTGGTGCTATGGCTCACGTGGTTGAGCGCTCACCTTTGAGCTGAAGGGCTCAGAGACACTGCCAAGAGTTCAAGCCCAAGACCAACAAACCAAAAAAAAGTATGTTTGGTAATTTATAGATCAGTACCCACCAGGAAAGTTCAGTAATGATGCAGAAAATAGGGAACAATTTGCACACTGGATCTAATTGACATACTTGAAGGAGCTTTCTGTGATTACCAACAACTAAAATTGACTCCATGCAAGCTATGTGAATTTTACCAAATGTAAAAGTACCTGTTTGCAGCTATGCAAACACATTCTCTGACCACAGGACAGATTTTGAAAATAACTATAAAGAAACCCATCATTTAGAAATTAAAACCATTTCTAAATAACCAATACCTCGTGAAAATATTTAGACCTGAATAAAACTGAAAATAACTACATGCTAAGTTCTGTGAAATGCAGCCAAAGTGACCTTTTGGGCTTTGTTTTGTATTGACAGTATTGGAATTTTGAATATAGGGCCTTGTGCTTGCTGGGTAATCCTCTACCACTTCAGCCGTACCTCCAGCCCTTTCATTTTGCTTTTCTGATAGGATCTTGTATTTGCCTGGGCCAGGCTTATAGCACAATCCTCTTTGGTCTTCCAAGTTGTTGGGATTATAGGTGTGCGATATTAACTTTTTGAGATTGAGCTGGAACCTTAATTTTCCTATCTCTACCATCAAGTATGTGGTATTATGGGTGTGAGCCACCATGCTCAACCCTTCAGTGAATTCTTTAGAGGGAAATTTGTAGTTTTAAAAGCTTATATTACAAACCAGGCCAGTGGCTCAGGCTTGTAATCCTAGGTACTCCAGAGGTTCAGATTTCTATTTTATCCTTATTCTACTATATCTTCCTATTATTTAAAATTCTATTTCTGGTTTTTATTTGTACTTTTAAGGAAATTTCTAACACAAGGCTTGGCATATAAAGCAAGCATCCAACAATGGTTCCCATCAATACCATGTTTGGTCTTGAACAAGCAAGCATCACCATACCCTCCTACATGATGCTGAGGAATTTCCTTCTTGCCTAGATCTGCTCAATTTTGCTTCTGTACAGAAAAAAGGAGAGACAACCCTTCCCATCATTTCTGTTCACCTGCTTATTGCTGTCTTCATGAAGGTCAAACAAAGCTTCTGGGCTGGGAAGGTGGCTCAGTGGTAGAGCACTTGCCTTGCATGCATGAGGCCCTGGGTTCAATTCCTCAGCACCACATAAGCAAAAAAGAAAAAAGCCGGAAGTGGCACTGTGGCTCAAGTAGTAGAGCGCTAGCCTTGAGCTGAAGAGCTGAGGGACAGCGCCCAGGCCGAGTTCAGGCCCCACAACTGGACCCAAAAAAAACAAAACAAAACAAAAAACAAAGCTCCTATGTGCTAGGAGCAATGTAAGAACTAAGTTAAATATTATAGAACAGCCAAGTGTAATACACATAAATTTAATTCAACTTGTTACAAAAACAAGAAATTTTATATCCTCAACTTTATTTAAAAGTTATAAATATGACATCAGTTGATGGTGGCTCATGCCTATAATCCTAGCTACTGAGGAGTTTAAGATCTGAGGACTGCAGTTCAAAGCCACCCCAGGCAGGAAAGTTGGTGATGTTCTTTCTCTCCAATTAACTAGCAAAAAGCCAGAAGTGGAGCTGTGGCTCAAGGGGTAAAGTGCTGGCCTTGAGCAAAAAAGCTCAAGGACAGCACCCAGGCCCTGAGTTCAAGCCTCAGGATACCAACAACACACACACACACACACACACACACAAAGTCACAAACATTTAAAATATAGTATTGGCTATATACATACAACTCATCAATAAGCATGATATTATTGCATACCTACATGATATTATTACTCCTGTGGGCTCTGCCAATGTTTTCACACCAGCGATACTTGCAAATGTCGTAGACTAGTAATTCTTCTGGGAAAAAGTAGTTCCAACGCCGAATTCCTAAAATGCAAATAATGTTTCTAAAGGGACTATTACTCTATCCAGTAGAATAAAGAATAAAGAATAGATTAGCTTTACCTCCTTCCACATCATTTCTATTCACCAAAGAAAGAACAAACCGATCAACTTCAGGGTAGGGCGAGTACTGAAAACCTTCAAGTGTTTCTCCTACAACAGAGAAAATTGTTTATGAAAACAAGTAAAAGTTAAGTTTTCATTAAATTGTTACTTAGGACAGTTAGGAGTTTTTTAATCCATTCAGCTTTTTTCTTTTTATCTTTTTATTTTTTTTTTGCAATTTGCCTTTTAGTCACTTCTAGGTTCTTGCTCCCTTATAAGCAAGCAGGTAAAATTCAATCCTTCAGTCAGATGTTCAGTTAGTTTTATGAAAAGCCTTTGAGATAATTGCAACTGTTTCTTTCTCCTTACAGAGAAAAGCAGTCCTCTCATGACCAGGAGCCACCTGCTTCTATCAGTAAGCCTAGGTCTCCTCTCAAGCTTCTCTGGCTTTCTAACCTCAGACTTTGTATTATCTTGTTGAAAACAAATTCACTTCCCAGAACATCAACAGCAGATAGGTCATGAGGAGTCAGGATAAAAACAAACATGACCTCTCTGCTATCAGATCTGAGACAACAGACAAAATAGAACATTTTCCAAACCACAAAGAGTAGCCAGACACACTTCCTTATCCTGGCTAACACTACTGCTTTACTAGTGATAGTGTTAGTCACCCTCTAGTCTATCTTCCTTCCAAATAAGATTCACTAAGATCACCAATTGGAGAATTTTCCCTGGCAACACTTCCTGTATATTCCTGTTAACTAATTTAGGTTCAAAGCCTCTAAATCCTTTCTAATACTCCCTTAATAAGATGTCCATGGTTCTGCATCACACCAAAAATAATCCAGTTTACTCACTACTGCTGTGTTCCTGTGGTCAGTAGCTAGAGGATGTTGACATTTCCATTTTATTCTGTAAGAACCTGCTGTCATAATTTACAGTGATCTGTTTATAATCTCGTTTAACTTTTTTTTTTGAGGGGGATCATCGGTCGTGGGGCTTGAACTCTGGGCTTGGGCACTGTCCCTCAGCTCTTCAGCTCAAAGCAAGCGCTCTACCGCTTGAGCCACATTGCCACTTCCGGTTTTCTAGTGGTCTATTGGAGATAAGAGTCTCACATGGACTTTCCTGCCCAGCCTGGCTTTGAACCGTGATCCTCAGATATCAGCCTCCTGAGTAGCTAGGATTACAGGTGTGAGCCACCGGCGCCCGGCTCTCATTTAACAGTTTTAGACAGAAAATTTTGCTTTTCTTAAAGCCTATCTCTCTTACAAAGAGACACACACACATACAGACATACACATACTGGTATAATTTTGAGGATGTGGAAATCTTAATATTCCAAAGCACTATCTAGAAATAATCTTAGGCAACCAGAAAAAAAAAATTATGTAAGAATGTAGCCAAAATGAATGGAGAGAAGAATGGTGAGTGAATATTATCATATAGTCAATACACATATAAGAAAATGGAACCAAGTAACTTGAGCGTATATGTAGAGTTGGGAGATGGGGTAATGGAAGGGAGGACATAAACTGACATATTGAATTGAAACCCTTTGTATGACCACTTAAAGATAATATTAACTTTGTGATCCCTGTATGTACTGTTGGCCATGCAACAGATCATCTACCTTGGTCTCACACAGGCTAGACAAGTACTGTACCTTTGAGCTATATCCCCAGACCCATACATATAATTTTAAATCCTAGTTTTGTCTTAATACCATAGGGATGTCTTCCACATTATATAGGCTTTATTAATCTAAATTAAAAATTCTGGTTCCAGAATATTTTCACAATGTATAACTAATTCTTTTTTATCGTATATATAGGTTTGCTTTCCATTTTTCAGTGTTATAATGATATACCAAAATATATGAGTAAAAATGTGTGTGTGTTTGTTTGTTTTGGGTCCGGTCGTGGGACCTGAACTCTGGGCCTGGGCGCTGTCCCTCAGCTCTTCAGCTCAAGGCTAGCGCTTTACCACTTGAGCCACAGCGTCACTTCCAGCTTTTTTCTTTTTGCTTATGTGGTGCTGAGGAATGAAACCCAGGGCCTCAGGCATGCAAGGCAAGCGCTCTACCACTGAGCCACCTTTCCAGCCCATGAGTAAAAATGTTTATTGGAGAATTATGTAAGGCATCTTAGGGAAAAAAAACTACATGTTTTTAAGAATAGTAATGAGTAAATTACAATAAAGCCTTTCATGATCTGCAACCATTAAAAGAATGAGTTAAAATACACTAGAATCCAGGAAAAGGTCAGTGGACTAAAAAGGAAAACTATTAGGGTGGTTACCTGTTCTGACTAGAAAGAAAGGTAAAAGACAATGTGCCATTTTAGATACATGTTTATGTAAACAATATGAATTTTATATTTTTGTTATTATAAAGGTGATATACAGAGGATTTAGTTACGTAAGTCAGATAAAGAGTACATTTCTTTTCAGAAGTATACTTCCCTCACTTCTAGTTTTTCCCTCCCATTCCCACCTACAATTTGTATAGTTCATTTTCAACATAGTGTCTAGCGAGCATCACAGCTGTGTTTCCTTTATATGTTTTAAATATCATAAAATGAAAATTAGTGAATAATATTTTAACAAGCACCTTTTTTCTTACAGTTTCCATTTGGGGTAGAAACCTAGAAGTAGTTTTAAATGCTCACCATATATGGGTATTTAAAGTTTAGACTTTAAATGCAAAACATTTTATATCCTTAAAGTTTGATAGGAAATTGTTTTCTTAAAATTACCTGAATTGTTGGTACTGTTAAGATACCCACTTCTCTTTCCTTTATTCTGGAATGTATCACATGTAAGAATTCTTAAAGTATCTGAGAATCTAAAGGAAGTATGTAAAAGACACAAAGTAACATTAGAATTTAAATGGCAGGAGAACAGAGAAGAAACTTAATTCCAAGTAGTTCCACTTTTTTTTTAATTTTTTTTTTTTTTGGTTGGTCGTGGGGTTTGAACTCTAGGCTTGGGCACTGTCCCTGCACTCTTCAGCTCAAGACGAGCGCTCTACCGCTTGAGCCACAGGGCCATTTCCAGTTTTCAAGTGGTTTATTGGAGATAAGAGTCTCACAGACTTTTTCCTGCCCAGGCTGGCTCTGAACCGTGATCCTCAGATCTCAGCCTCCTGACTAGCTAGGATTACAGCCACTAGTACCCAGCAAGTTCCATTTTTATACTTAGTCAACAAGAGGATTTACCCTGCTGTATTTAAAAAACAGAAAAAGTATGACTTTTTAAATAGAGAAATTGTTTTTTCAAATAAGATTGGTGATTGTTTCAACTACTTTCCTCACAAACAGAAGCCATCGAAGGACTGATGGCTGAAACAACATGAAGTCTAATTCTAGTCCTCAAAAGCACAGAGCCTTTGAAATGTCTATTGTAATAACAAGTATGAGTAACAGGGAGATGCAAAGATAAAAGAATCAGGGAAAAGAGATTACAATTAACTCAAAGAGAAGTTACCTTGACTTCTAGGTAACATCTGGCATTGACTTGAATACATGAAACACAAGTGAAGACATTTTTACTCAGTAGAAGACTCCTCCACTGCTGAAAAATTAATACTGAAACTTCACCAGGAGTCACAGACCCCTCATGCTACTACATACACTACTGCCAGAGTTGCAGGTGCTACACCATCTAACATTTCTGAGCAGATACCATGTTCTGGCCACTGGTATAAATGCTTGATGTGAACATTTTAACTTAATACTCTCAACAATTCTGTAGGATAAGCGTCATTACTATTTTCCCTTTAGAAGAAAGGACACTAAATGGGTGTGGTGATGCACACCTATTAATTCCAGCATACAGGAGGATTCCAAGTTCAAGTAAAGCCTGACCTACACTGTAAGACCCATCTCAAAAAACAAACAAAACAACTAAAAAAGATGAAATCAAAACTTGCCCCTTACTCTGAGTTATGTTATTAAGGGAACACAATCTATAGAGAGACATGAAAAAAGTCTACTCACAACATTCCCCACATCAATGTATTCTTAAATGTATCCTTAAAATTAACTTTGATGGAATGCTTTTCCTTGAATATTTGAGGAAGACAAATGGAAAAAAATTATAGCAAGTTAAGTCTTTAACTTGCTTAGTCTACTGCCCCTTATGTTTTGAGCTGACAAAATTCAAATCCCAGAAAAAAGGAAAGACTTTCATGCTTTTTAAATCTCACGAAAACATAGGAACCTAGATGTGCAACAACAGATCTGACAGTAAATTATGTCTCTATAATATGAAAGTATTAGACATTGAACGTTTTATTTACAATTAAATGCTGGAAAATTACTAACTTGGCAGATATAAGAAGAAAAAGGTAACAACTATATGAGCTATGCCATGGGAAAAAATGTTTTGATTTGGGGGCCAGTGCTAGGGATTAAATTCAGTATTATTTTCTTCTTTATAGAAGCACTAATGATTTTAGAAACACTAGAAAGTATGTAAGTTCAGTTAATGGAAAGGATTTTAAGAACTTTGAGGTAGAATGGGTTTATACATTTCATATAACAATGTACAATACCATTTACTCTAACAAATATTCCTGAATGTGTGATGATTTAATTCTGGTATACATACCTGACATTGCTGACCAAGGAAGAGAGGAAATACTGGTTTTCTGTAGAAACATTTTTTGGCCGTTTAGGAAAAAATCTGTTGTCTTCAGCAACCTCCAAAGCCACACACTTTCCTATTTTTGATGATTTATACAGCCGAAAGTTTCTGTTTCTTGTATATACTCCTATGTCAAAAGTTAGGTTAAAAATGAATGCTTGGGGCTGGGAATGTGGCTTAGTGGTAGAGTGCTACCATGCATGAAGCCATAGGTTCAATTCCTCAGTACCACGTAAACAGAAAAAGCCAGAAGTGGTGCTGTGGCTCAAGTGGTAGTATTAGCCTTGAGCAAAAGAAGCTCAGGGACAGTGTCCAAGCCTTGAGTTCAAGCCCAGGACTGACAAAAAATAAAAAAGAGTGCTTGTTTTCTGTGACTGCTTTTATAGTCAGCAAATGTTAAATTACATTGATAGAATTTCCGTGAGAAACAATTTAAAAAAATTGAAGTTAGGGCTGGGAAGGTGGCTCAGTGGTAGAGCGCTTGCCTTGCATGCATGAGGCTGTGGGTTCAATTCCTCAGCACCACATAAGCAAAAAAAAAAAAACAGAAGTGGCGCTGGTGGCTCAAGTGATAGAGCGCTAGCCTTGAGCTGAAGAGCTGAGGGACAGCGCCCAGGCCCAGAGTTCAGGCCCCACACGACCAGACCAAAAAAAAATAAAAATAAAAAATTGAAGTTAACATGGAAGAATGCCATTATCTAGAAATAGCAAATTAGATGATTTTAGGAAAACTCTAATTGAAAACAAATTGGAAAGCCAGACCAGCTTGTGATAACACCTAAGGCTTAGCTGACAAAACCAGGTGGCTTCTGGCTGTGAGAACTGCTTTTCTCTGTCAGGGTAAAGAAACAGACTTGTGGTACTTTGGAAAGGAGGTCACTGCCTGGGAAGGGCAAGGCGAAGACTCTTGTCTAAGGAAGAATAGAAACAGTGACAATTTTGTAGTAATTCATTAAAATTTACAGCTTTTCTATACTGTTATACTTCAATGTTTTTTTTTAAGGAATTGGAGGTGTGGCTTAAGTCACAGAGCCCTAGACAGTGTGAGCAAAAACAACCAACGGAGACCAAGTATGAGTTCCAGTCTTGAACAAAAATAAATTTTTTTTATATGTACTACTGAATCTCTAAATATTTCAAAGACCTTTAAGAAACAATTACTAACACCAGGCACCCATGGCTCATGCCTGTAATCCTAGCTACTCAGGAGGCTGAGATCTGAGGATTGCAGTTCGAAGCTAGCTCAGGCAGGAAAGTCTATGACAGTTAATCATCAGAAAACCAGAAGTGACACTATGGCTCAAGTAGTAGAGGGCTCACCTTGAGCTGAACAGTGTCCAGGCCCAGAGTTCAAGCCCCAGACTGACAAAGAAAAAAAAAAAGAGAGAGAGAGAAAAAGAAACATTAGCCTGGAGCCACTGGTTTACGCAAATGGGAGGTTGGGAATGGGAGGATGAAGGTTTGAAGCTAATTGGAAAGAAATGTTAAGACTCCTGTATCCATAGCTGGCTACAGAGGTATACACCTGTCTTCCTAAGTGAGGTGGGAGGCTGAAATTGGGAGGATCTTGGTGCTAGGCCAGCCAAGGCAGAAAACTATGAGAAACTCCATCTCCACAAAAAAGCTGGACTGGTGGTGACCACCTGTGGCCTCAGTGGCAATGAGACGCACACAGTAGAAGTCTACTTCTAGTACCACTGAAAAAGGAAAAGAAGACACAGACTCTCCCATCCTCTTTTGGTACATTGGTAAATCTGAGTATCGCGGTAACTATGAGGAAAATTTCCTTATTGTCCAGGAATCTCACTTTTAAGGCCAGAACTATCATGAAATAGTATTCTGCTTGAGGTTTTCATACTGGGGTGGAGTACACTTATTGCCTAATGCTGCTGTTTGTGAGTCAATTTCCTGTTACACATTTTCCTGAACTAACTGTGGGCTCATCTGACCTGCAGCCAATATTCTGCTAACCAGGCAAACCTGCCATTTAGAAGGGTACTCCTCTACTCCTAACTCATACACTGTTCATACCCAAACCAGCACACTGCTCTTCCCCAGTGATACTACTTCATTCTGGCTCTTGATTGTTCAGAGATCAGAACCCAGCACAGCTAGGTAGAAGGAAGTCCCCAGCAAGAAAGCTGAACAATGACCCCTCTACTACTAACCAGCTGACCACTTACACAACTCTTCAGTCAACAGAGTGTCCACCTTTACTTTTTCATAAAAGTACCATTTTTATACTGTTTGAATTGATATAATTAATTAAGGGGTGCTGGTCCAATTGTCCCCTGCCAAAACTCTGGATGTTTAGGGCACAGCCAGCCATAAGCATTCCTTTTTGCAGCTTAAGCCAGCCTGGGACTTCCCTTCAATAGACACCTAAAATCTGAAATAGAAACCTAGCACCTGAGTATACTGACTATATCCTGTTACTGTAGCAAGTACCTAAGCACAGCAACAAGTAGGCACTGACTTGGCCCATCCACTGGCCGGGTTCCAGTGAATATGCCTGTAATCCTGGCTACTTAGGAAGCTATGGTGAAGTTCAAAACCAGCTTGGGAAGATAAATCTGAAAAACCTTTATCTCCAATTAACCAGCAAAAAGCTAGAAGTAGAGGTGTGGCTCAAGTATCAGAGAGCTAGCTTTTCTTTTCTTTACTTTTTTGTGTGTCGGTCATGGGTCTTGAACTCTGGGCCTGGGCGCTGTCCCTCAGCGATTCAGCTAAAGGCTAGTGCTTACCACTTGAGCCACAGCGCCACTTCCAGTTTTCTGGTGGTTTATTGGAGATAAAAGCCTTACAGTTTCCTGCCTGGGCTGGCTTGGAACTGCGATCCTCAGATCTCAGCCTCCTGATCTCAGCCTCCTGAGTAGCTAGGATTACAGGCATTAGCCACCAGCGCCCGGCTAAGTACCAGCTTTGAGCAGTATTAATCAAGTGAGAACTTGGGGCCCTGAGTTCAAGCCCAGGTACAGCCCCCCACACACACACACACCATATGCCAGTTTAAGAGACAACACTCAATGTTATTTACCTAGATCCACAAAAAGATGCTTTTCTCCCATGTTATTCTTCACAATTAAAAATGAAAGATCAGGATCACTTGGCTTAGCTGGCCCCAACTTCTCCAGTTTCTCTGAATTCAATGTCCAGCTCTCTTCTTTCTCCTTATCTGTGGACATTTTGTTAAGGGAAATTCCTTGTTTTAATGGTGCTTCAGAAAATTGGGGAAATTCATGGTCCAATGTCTCTGAAATCCTATCATCATCATTTTTGGCAATTAAGTGAAGAGCGGGCTGCAAAATTTTTCTGACAAAATTACCTAAGGCAAAAAACAGGCAACATGATTACAATCTAACTCTTTTCAGTGAACTGTAACTTAAAATCTAGGCAAAATCTACTCTCAACAATTTTACCCAGTAAGGCTTGTTATTTTTTGATTATGGTTTTAAAAGTGAGCTGTTGCTATAAACTATGGCATGTCTCTTCTGCTACTTCATTTCTTTCTTTTGGGCAATCTTTTACTTTCGATTCCACCTAGCCTGCAAGCCATGTAAACAAATCATTCTCGTGTTAGTCACTAGTATGGGCCTGAGCCGAACATGCTGTCACTAAAAAGCACCACTTTTACTAATACAAATTAGAATAGTGATTAAGCAATGACAGTATGCATCGGGAAACTTGCTGCTGGGATAATGGACAGAATACTAAGAGCCTCTGGCATACCATTCTGAAGTCAGGATGTGGGCAAGTTCTCACCAGCTCCTTCTCAATTACCTTCTACCACCTAAGACTTCCTGACTTCCGCAGCTCCACGGGCACTGCCAATCCTTCTCTTCCTCACACTAGTCATAGATTGACCTCAAGTCCAAACTAAAGCTATTAGATACATCTGGTACTACTACATTTACTCTATGCATTCTGAATAGTAGTTCTATCTGTACCAGGAAAAGTTCATCAAACAATCTGGAACTTCTTTAAACTCACATTACCATTTATATCACCAAGTTATAAAACCAAGTCATAATTTGACTGTTTATGATACTGTATAAATGAGATAATATAAGAAAAACTTAATCTCTCCAATTTAATAGACTAGGTTTACTTATCACTTTATTTACCAGAAATGCTTGAATCCTTAAATCACAACATATACTCTATTCAAAAATATTTCTTTAAATTAGATTTACTTTCCTATTCAAAGACAAATCTAATTTCTTGTCTTTTAAAAAAAAAATGTTCTTGCTATATAGACTAGTTTGGTCTTGAACTCATAATCTTCCTGCCTCCTAAGTGCTAGTGTTATAGATGTGTACCACCATGATCAGCTACAATTGCTTAAAAAGCATTAAACATGTGTCAGAGGCAGAGGTAGGAAAATTATAAGTTTGAGGCTAACTTGGACTACGTAGCACCTGTCTCAGAAAAGTGACATACATACATATATGCATACATAGACACATATATACATACACACACTGAACATCAAAATGAAAGCAAGACCTTTAATCCTTTTAATGATATACAGACATGATTATTTCTACAGTGAGGGAGAGAAGGTAAACACTGAGTGGCAAGACATCAAAACATATTAAAGGATAAGAAAACTTTATGTGCATTAACTGATATAATTAATGGAAACTTAAAATTCCATCTACTTGACCCTAGGCAATAAAAGAAGCAAGCTCTGATGTGGTGCTGAAGTGGCAGGCTTGAACCTTGGTGGAGAGCTAATGAGCAGGTCATCAGGCCAGTCAGCCAGCATATGTACTAACACACTGGCTCCCGGCAAACTTCTCCAGAGTCTCCTTCCCTTCTCTAACCTCCGTCACCTCCTCTCACTAGACAGGGACTCTCAATGGCTAATTCAAAAGAACTAATCAATCAATCCTAGAAATTTCAAATAATTTGGAGAAGTATCTTACAGATCAAATTCTATGGTCTCTTACTTATAACCTAATTCCCATTTCTGAAAAGCTGACAATAGAAATTGAAATGTCATCAATAGATACACCAAGAGAGGCGAACTAAAGGGAAAATTTGGATTACTTTGTGTCTGATTCTGGCCATTTATAATTTTAGAGGAAAAGCCTTAGATGACATCCCATTTATGAGGGCTATGTGTCTAAGTTAGCTCTTCTGGACTATCCCACTGCTCCACAAATTCACATAAATTCATGTGTCCATGCTTCTGTTTAAGCTGTTCTCTCTGACTCTACAGGCCATTTTTGTCTATATGATGAAAATTTATCCAAAGCTTAGACTGAAAGTCATCTGCTTTCAGGAGATATATATGCAGAAACAGCTAGTTACAGTTACTCTTCAAGTACCTATTCTCTCCATCTGTAGCCACAGATTCTAGCCTTGTGACTGATAGTCATACATCATGGAGGAGTAAGTAAAAATCAAAAACTGACCTTGATTAGGACTCTGCTTTCATTTTCTACTTAACATGCATCCATTTAGCAAATAATGTATTAAATGCCTACTTATCTTTATTAATGCTTAATACCATTTGCTTGTTATACTAATTTTTAATATGGTATTATTAATATGTACTAAGCTCTGGAATTAAAATTGTGAATAAGACACTGTCCCTGGGCTGGGAAGGTGGTTCAGTGGTAGAGCGCTTGCTTTGCATGCCTGAGGCCCTGGGTTCGATTCCTCAGCACCACATAAGCAAAAAAAAAAGAAAAAAGCCGGAAGTGGTGCTGTGGCTCAAGTGGTAGAGTGCTAACCTTGAGCTGAAGAGCTGAGGGGCAGTGCCCAGGCCCAGAGTTCAGGCTCCACGACCGGACCCCCCCCAACAAAAAAAAGAACTGTCCCTGCTATAATGAAACATTAAAAGAAGACAAAACAAGAAACTATCTCAGGAAGTGGTAAGTTCTTTGACACAGTGAGCACTGGATATTATCTCCCACCCAGAAGAACATGAACCTAAATCATCAGGCCTACTTGTGACTCTGCATCTTAATAAAAGATCTGGTGAACTGGAAGGATGTCTGTTTGGACAGCAGCAACTCAAAGCACAAAGGCTCAGGAACTCTGGAGAACGTGCCCATGGTGGGAATTAAGGGAAAAGGACAGAATGAAGACAGACTAGTGGGCCTATAAGACTAATTATCCCACAATTACTAGTAACTTAAGGCATGAGAGGAAAAGACAGAGATGGGATGTCCAGCTAAGCAAATCAAAATCAAGAGAATAGGAGCTTCATGTACACATCATCCTAGGGACCAGGCATTACCATCATTCAGCACTTTAGGTTCCTGACTTTCCTGCCAGTCCTTGGGTGACTATGCCATGCCTTTTGCCCTAAACAGTTGTGAAACAAAGATACTTGTGACTCAGATAACAGGTTGCCTGTTACCTGAACTTCAATTAACTATACTTTAGACCTAAGGACACTTGTTCTATGTCTGGTTTGATAAACACTCTCTCTACTGAAATCTTGCTTTGGTGTTCATATTTTGTTTATTTGTTTCTCCTCTGGACTGGCTTCATTTGATGCTGGGAACTAATGTCTCCACATGCCTAAGTCCTGAGACAAACACTCTAGAAATACAAATACTAGTAGATTTACACATATGTTCTTCACCTAAGATTCTGTCTAGAACGTGTGTATGTGTGTGTGTGTGTGTGTGTGTGTGTCAGTCCTTAAGCTTTTGTGCTCAAAGCTAATGTTCTACCACTTTGAGCCACAACGTCATTTCCAGCTTTTTGGTAGTTAATTGGAAAAAACAGTCTCACGGACTTTCATTTCCAGCTTTTTGGTAGTTAATTGGAAAAAACAGTCTCACAGACTTTCATGCCCCAGCTAGCTCTGAACCATAATCCTCAGATCTCAACTTCCAGAGTAGAGAGGCTTAAAGGTGTAAACCACTGACACCTGGAAGTAAGCTTTTTAAAAAAAATATGACCTGAGAGCCAAAGCCCCAAAGCTACAACTAATTCAAAGCCTTAGCAAATCAGAAATCGGCATCACCGATTAAGACTTGAAATGAAAAGGCTTAAGAAGTGATCCAGAAAACATAAATGAATCCTGTTACAACAGAAACCAGTACAAGGACACACATAGCTACCTCAATAACTATGATAAGAAACACTAATGAACAGATTAGCCTAGCAGAAAGATAAGCGGAAAGGTAAAGGTAAATCCTGAATACATGAAAAATTATGTTTCATTTTGTTAGGATAGATTAGCAACCATAAAATCTGGTGAGTATTAACAAAATGTAAAGAGGATAGGTAGATGTGTGTATAGTTTTTTTAACTCCATGATTTTTGTACAGGCAGTCAACTTACCAACATGAATGTTATCTTTAAAGGCCACGTCATGGAGCTGAAATATCAAATGGCGGCTAAATTTTTCCTCAGTGCTAGAATCCAGGTTGAAAACGTCTTCAGCTGAACAGTGAACACTATACAACTCCTGAAGTGCTTTACAAACATGCTGTCCACACAAAGAAAATGGAAATAATTTATGGCTTGAGTTTTTAATATTTTTCTTTGAGAAAAATTCAAATATCTTGAGGCAAGTAAATTTAACCAAAAAAACCCTAAAACTAAAAACTATATTCACAATATAACAATTTTACCAATTTACTCATACATCAAAATGGGTTTCATTTTAAAATTATTACGTTTGTATTTTAAATTTCATAAGATTAACTTTTCAGGATTAAAGAAGCCTTCTAGAAGACAATTCATAAATTAGCCCCCTTTAAAATTATAATGAAATATTTCTTCTTAAGTACCCCTCTACATATTTTTTATGAATTGAAGTCAATAATATTACTGTTTTATAGCTGTAACTATTAGAAAATCTCTCATTCCTATTAGGCCCATATCCACCTCCAAGATCCCAGCTTGTGAGCAAGATGACACTGATACTGGTAGCAGACAGGAAGTGCGTGGGTAGATGCCCAAGATTCGGAGCCATACAGAGGCAGGCTTGAGTGGCTTTGCCATTTACCAGCTCTCTAATTCAAGTTAAATCTACAGCATCCATTCCTCAACTGGTAAGTGGAGGAAAAAACAGTACCACCTAAGATTTAGAGAAAATGCGACTAAAGACTTTTCAAGTGCCTGGTACGCGCAACTACTTCAAAGTACTGACAGTACCGCCTCCAGACAAGTCATCCTTCCCTCGGCAGGAGGCTTCCTATTTGCAACATGCAGCTAGTATGAACTACCAAGTGCAGTTTTCTTGAGATTAGGAAAGAGTGTTTGTTAGCCACTTGAAATACCTCATAGTTATGGAATTAATTGTATTTAGTAATATTTTTGTATTCTATTGGAATATACTCCCCCTTGTGGTTTCCGAGTTGACTAATATCTGAAATAAATTCTCATTTTCTTGGTTTAAAAAAAAAATCTCCTCAGCCTCCCCATCTATGTCAAATTCTCCTAAATGTTCTATCTCTTTGTAGTACTTAGCTATAATTTTATACTCATTTATGTCATTCTGACATGTTTTATCTATATTACAGAAGGTATCTCTTAGTATATGTCCTTTCCTTTTCCTGGAGTCTTTAAAGCAAACTGTGGCCATGTGACTAAAGGTAGCCAGTGGAAAGGGAAAGGGAGGAACATACTCCATTTCTAAGTTATAGTCTTAATGGCAAGGTACCCTTCTCATCTCCCATTTTCCACTGACTAGTATATAGAATTTATGACAATGTAAATAACACCATTTTAGGAATAGCCAAGGTAGAATTAGCCTTGTCCCTATCACAATGGAACCACGCTGGATAGTATAGAAGAAATAAGTTCCTATCTTGTTTAAACTTTAATTTTGGATCTCGTCTATGGAGCAAAATCTATTCTATGAAGTCAGAAAATATGCCTCTTTGAGGTCACCATTTTATTTCCAGAATATATAGAAATAGAAACCCGCACTTAATAGAGGATGAACATTTTTGATAAATAAGGCTGAGTTCCGAACTTTGGAGCTTCAGAGAATTTGATGACTCTTTAGAAGATAACATTAATCAGACTCTCTCCTAACCTCTTTCCCAAGGTAAACTTTAATAAAACTTATAATTATAAAATCTATAGGTTAAAAATAGGTAGTTACTTGTTACCTAACAAAATTATTAGCAACAGAATTCATCCCAATTGGTAGCAGCAGCATTATTAAAATATATTAGTTAAGTAATTAAACCAAAGCATTAACATTCTAGCCACTTGTTAATAACCAGTTATTTATTAACTATTACTTTAAAGATAACAGCTAAACTAATTTATGCTTCCTTGTAAAGACAAAACATACTTACTAAATTATAAACAAGTAACATACAAAGTAATAAAATTAAGTTCAACCTAAGTGTTTATAAAAAATTGTATTAAATAAAATACAAATATTCAACAAAGACAAATATCAACAAACTATCAACATGGTAACCATTTTTTTAATTGTGAAAATACTGTACAGAGGGGTTACAATTACACGGGCAAGATAATGAGTACATTTCTTATCAAGCATTGTTGCCTTCTCTTTCGTTTCCCCTTCCCACCCCCCCCCAGTCTTCCCCCACCCTACCAAAGTTGTAAAGTTCATTTTTCGACATAACAACTTGTACATCTCATTGTTGCAATGGGTCCACCTGTATCCCTATTTAAACGATTTGTTTTTTTCCCTTCCCCTCCCCAAATTATACCAACATCAAATACAGTGAAAGCAGAGGTTAAATGTTTAATTTTGAAACTAGGTTTCTAGTTTTTTCCCAGCTTTTGCTGTAGACAAGATTAGTTGTTCAAGGACTATTTGGATAAGATGATATAATGAATTACAGGAAAAAAAATGTTTAAACTCCAGTGAATATTCCCACTTTTCTTATTAGTGTATGTTATAAATGGGATTTATTCTTTGGTTGATTTCATTAAAGAAATATCTAGTGTCTCAAACAATGTAATACTTCTTTGCTAATAGTACCATCATATTTACATATAATGGAAAATCTCTGACTCTTAATTCCTAGTAAGCCACAGAGGGCCTACACAAGAAGGCTGCTCTTCTTACTGCCAACGATGAGTCTATGAGCAAAGATCTTTGAATAAAGTATGACCATTATTCCTGCCATGCACCATATCTTCTGCTTGCCAGATTCTCATTTCAGTCTACCTGGAGTTGAGAACCTGCACAAAATACATACAAAATTCCTGGCAGCTGATACTAATTTTGTTGAATACTAATTCTTGATACTAATTTGCTCAAAGTTTCATTGAACTTGATCTCAGATGCAAATTTTACAGTAAAAATTACCTGATGTTTACCACAGCTAACTATTTGGAAGTCAGAGAATTCATATGTAATTTGCAAAACAGAAAACTTGCAAACTGTCATCTTTATCAAGGTTTTTTAACTACATATAGTAATATTTTATAAAATATTTGGTCATAAATTTAATTTTCTTTTCTCCTCATAACTTACTTACAAAAGTGATATTAAAAATAAAAGTCAGCAAGATACAAGTGGCTCACATCTGTAATCCTAACTACCTAGAAGGCTGAAATCTGAGGATTATGGTTTGAAGCCAGCCCAGGCAGGAAAAGTCCATGAGACTCCTATCTCCAATTAACCACCAAAAAACTGGCAGTAGAGCTATGGCTCAAGTGGTAGAGCACTTAGCCTGGAACAAAAAAGCTTTTGGACAGCACCCAGGCCCCAAGTTCAAACCCCAGGACTGGCATACACACACCAAAGAAAGAAAAAAAGGAAAGAAAGAAAAAAAAAAGAGTAACTAGGAAAAAGAGGAGGAACACAGACCAGACCATACATGTTATATAAAGTGAGTTCACTGAATGAATCAATGAAAAAGTGAATGAAGAAAGTGTGTCACTTACTTCTATGAGTAATGCGACCATCTTTTTCCCATCAGTGCCTGGATTGGCTGATTTGTTAAACTCCAAATCAAAATAGAGCTTGCACACAGCATTTTCAGGAATAACTTCATAACAGTGCAAAAGATTTTTCCTAAATTCAATAATTCAAGACTGTTAGAATTTTTTTACATAGGTAACTGTAACCTCTTGACAATAAAATTAGGAAAAAAAAGACTTAGATTTTTACCATATACCTTTTAAATCATAGGAGGTGATCTTGTATCTAAAATACAGTGTTAACTGTGCCCTAACTACATATAATTATGAAATGATAAAGTGAAAACCATCCCACAATAAATTTATAGCTCACAGTGTCAACAGTTTCTATTAAAAATGATGTAACAAACATATTCTGAAATATCAACTGAGAAATAAAGTCAATCTTACAGTGTTACTTATTAACATGATTTTGACATTTTATGGTATTATGAAACAAATTTCGCTTGAGAATATTCTGTCGCAAATTGAGGTATTATGTGGTATCTAGGGGTATCACAATTTTCCCACGGGAATTTGTAATTTTTAATTTTATTAGGAAGATGCTATCTTAAAATGTGTTCTTTTTTTAAAGTAAAGATGATGAATCATATGACTTCAATAAATTTCCAGTGCTCACTAGCAATGCTGCCATGGGAGAAATGCCTGACATGGGTTAATGAGAATAGATGCTAAGAGCAACGATGGGAAAATGCTGCTGTAATATTAAATGTGCATATGTGAAAACAGAGGTAGGTAACTTGAAGGAACGGGTGACGTTGGGATAATGGGAGGAGAGAATGAGGGAAGGGGTAACACTGATCAAGATACATTATATTCAGAAACTGACTTGTTGAATTAAAAACTTTTTGTATATCTACTGACAGGTCATTAAAAATGAAAAGTAAACAAGAATAGCTTAGTAACTCAAAATGTAAATGGTAATTTGGGCTAAGTGGAGTTCAGATGGCATTGCATAGAAAAAAATGTCTATCGTAACTTAAAGAAGGAAAAGTGGGGAGAAAATTGGATCCTCATGTGACATGTCATATAGGAACTCAAAAAACACACAAGCCCATGACTCACGCCTGTAATCCTAGTTACTCAGGAGGCTGAGATCTGAGGATCACAGTTCAAAGCCAGCCCAGGCAAGAAAGTCCATGAGACTTATCTCTAATAAACTACCCCCCAAAAAACTAGAAGTTAAGCTGTGGCTCAAATGGTAGAGCACTAAACTTGAGCAAAAAAAGCTCAGGCCCGGTGTTCAAGCCTAAGATTGGCACACAAAAAAGAAAAAAGAAAAGAAAACCCACACAGGTATATATACAATTTCCTAATAGCACCATATTCAACATGAGATAAACACGATCTGTGAGTAAAACACCATCTGTCATATTAGGAGTTTTAACTCATGTATTACTGGTGCTCCATGTATATAAACATAAATAACTCAAGCATTGTATTAAATGCTACTTAAGCAACCTTATAATAAAAGTATTTTAAGTCAATTGAAGCTATCTATATTAACTTACTGTCCTTTTCCATACATTGCCCAGGTCTAAAGAATAAGTGAATAAATTTCTCAGGTAAAACCTATTTCTTAGTTTGGCATCGAGGTGGCCCATGCCTATAATCAATCCTAGCTACTCAGGAGGCTGAGATCCAAGGATCTCAGTTTGAAGCCAGCCCGAGCAGGAAAGTCTGTAAGACTCTTATCTCCAATAAACTATTCAAAAAAGCAAGAAGTGTTGCTGTGCCTCAAGTGGTAGAGCACTTGCCTTGAGCAAAAGAAGCTCAAGAACAGCGCCCAGGCCCAGGCCCTGGCCCCAGGATTGGCAAAAACCAAAACAAAAAATCACTTAATTCTTTATTAGATAATTAATAAGATAAGCATGCACTGGGAATTAATATTACAATACAATAGTACAACATTTATATAATAATAAAAAAGAAAACACAAAATTCTCTTTATGTGTGTGTGTGTGTGTGTGTGTGTGTGCACGCGCACACACACGCGAGCACACGTGCACATGCTCTAATGCCTGATAACTGAGTAACAAGAGAATGATCACAGGAAACTCCAGAACTTAATACTAATATGTTGGTGTAACTAATTATGTGGTCCAGAACTGTGAATGTCAACTCAACCTGAATTAATCTCACTAAAATTACTAAAACAAATATAATTTAGCTTCATGTGCTATTCTGTTACAACTACTTACCGCAATTTGTAGTAAAACCAAAGTTGAGCATAAGTTGTTACAAGGTAAATACGCTGTCCATCTCCTACTTTGCATTCCAAAGCAAATACATGAACATCCTATATAAAATTGAAAATAATATTTGAAAATTTATGACATGCAAATTTAAATTCAACTGTAGCTAGAAAATGTGCATAAAGAATGTTATTTTTTTCAGAAACCAAAATGTGAAAAATGTATTACTAAAAACAAGACAAACATTACTGTATCTACATCAGTAAAAAACCTGATCATGCTGGGGCGCTGGTGGCTCACAACTGTAATCCTAGCTACTCAGGAGGCTGAGATCTGAGAATCACAGTTCAAAGCCAGTCTGGGCAGGAAAGTCCATGAGACTCTTATCTCCCATAAACCACTAGAAAACCGGAAGTGGCACTGTGGCTCAAGCGGTAGAGCGCTCAGCCTTGAGCTGAAGAGCGTAGGGACAGTGCCCAGGCCCAGAGTTCAAGCCCCACGACCGACCAAAAAAAAAAAAAAAAAAAGTCTGATAATTTAAGCCAACTGCCTGCAATCCTGGCTACTCAGGAAGCTTAGATCTGAGAACTGGAGAGTCACAGTAGTTCAAGGCCAGCTTGAGCAGAAAAGACTCAGAGATTCCATGTCCAAAACAAGCAATAGGAAACAGGGCCTAACTGGTAGAGTACCTGCCCAGAAAGCTTAAGGCCCTGAGTTCTAATCTTAGCACTACCAAAAAAACAAAAAACAAACTAACCACAAAACCAAAAATCAAATTATTGACATTTGTTCACTTTAAATTTTTCAAAATTTCCTAAATATAACAAGTGATTTGAGGTAAAAATAATTTTAAAATTCTCTAGTACATATAAACATGTATATGAGAAGAAATTTTTGAAAGGTTACTATAATACTGACTAGCTAGAATTATTCACAGCTGCTACCATAAAGAACTTCCTTCAGAGCCTGGGGCTGGTGGGCCATGCCTGTAATCCTAGTTACTTGGGAGGCCGAGATTGGGAAGATGATGGCTTGAGGCCATCTTTATGGAGAGAAGCTGGATGTGTTGGGACAAGTCTGTGATCTCAGCAATGATGGTAAGCCTTTACTAGGGAAATCTCAGTTCAAGTATGAACCTTGACAGGAAGCAAGCCCCTCTCCTAAAAATAACCAGTGAAAACCGGGGCCAGAAGTGGCACTATGCTAGGCTACCAAGTGCAAGACCCAGAGTTCAAACTCTTCTTCATGCCTCTGTGTGTGTGTGTGTGTGTGTGTGTGTATACACATGCATATACACACGTGTTCTTCTGCTTCTACTTAGCTAAAGATAGCTCTTGAGCCTACTTTCATTTTTCTGAATGAGAAAAATGTTTGATCCTACTAAAAATCTTTTTCAATAAATGTTATAGACTTATGACAGGCAAGACCAGCAAGCATATTCCTGTATCATTTTAAAATCCAAGGTCAAATGAAACTATATTTTAATTTCTGATACATGAATAGGTTTGCTCAGAAAGAAGAGGAAAGTTTTCTTTATATTTTCTAAACTATTCTTATGAGATCTGAGTGAGCATCCATTTACGAAGGAAAAACGGTTCCTCTATCAAATCTTAAACTTTAAAAAAAAATGTATTGTCAAGCCAGGCACTGGTGGCTTATGCCTATAATCCTAACTACTCAGGAGGCTGAGATCTGAGGTATAACAGTTCAAAGCCATCCCTGGAAGAAGAGTCCCCATGAGACTCTTATCGCCAATAAACTTACTCTAAAACTGGAAGTGGGGCTATCCCTCAAGCCTTGAGCACAAAGAGGCTCAGGGACAGTACCCAGGCCCAGAGTTCAAGTCCCAGAACTGCCAAAAAAATAAAAATCAAACAAAAAATGTACTGGTAATAATTATGGTTTTCTTTCCTCTCAAGTTTTTAAACTAGTTTAGACTAGATATGTCATTAGTTTTCATTATTAATATAAATGGGGGCTAGAGCATTGCTGAACTGGTAGAATGTTTGTATAGCAAGCATAGGCCTTGGGTTCAATACCCAGTACTAAAAATAAAGAAAGAGAAAGGAGGAAAGAAAAAGAAGGAAGGGTCGAAGGGAGGGAAAACACAAATTTATCTTAATGATCCAAAGAGATATTTTTCCCAAAGCATGTGATATAAAAGTCCCATTAAATTATTTGATAGAGCATATAATCTGAAATGAAGACAAATAATAGATTAAGTAAAATCTTTAGCTATAGTTGCTCAACAGATAAGAAAAAAACCTGAAAATGCAGCAATTACCTCTTTACAGCTTTTAACAAAATCAAAAGCTTGATTTTGTCGATGAAATAGTTTCCAAATGGAAGGTGGTTCTTCTGGCTTGGACAGTCTAGGTCTATAGACTGAGGACAGTGGTTTCCTCTCATATTGAGATGCTAGTTCTTCAATTTGCTTCAGTTTTGCTTCCCATTTTCCCATCATTGGTTCAGAAGTATAGAGAGCACAAATCTAGCATCATATACGCTTTCTATAAACAAAAAGGCCATACATTTCTCTTGTAAATATTAACATGTTTTATCTGATAAATTTCAAACTTCATTTCTTTGAAATATAGATGTATGTATATATATATATACACATACATCTATATATATCAAGAAATAAGAAATAAATGTTTTCTTTACATTTTGCTCTTTACCTCAAGTTTTGCCACAGAACAGGGAGAGGATGGCTATCAGATCCGTAGACCCTAGCTCTTTCACCTAATAGTGTTAGACCATGCAAAGTTAATGAAGCTCCTTGAATCTTGCTTTAATCAACTGCAAAATAATTATCTTGAAAACTTTATACAGTACCCCGAGAATAAATGATATGAAAATGTCTTGTAAACTATAAAGCCTCATTAGATGTAAGTGCTTTCTGAATCATTTATGAAATTATGCTTTTATGAAAACATCTCTCTCTCCTACCCTACACTTTGTGCCAGTAGCAGGGCTTGAACTCAGGGCTTCACACTCTTGCTTTGCCTTTTTGCTCGAGGCTGGCACTCTACTACTTGAGCCACACCTCCACTTCCTCTCCTCTTTATTCTCAACACAATTTTTAGTAAGGAAGGTAACTCCTTAAAGAATAACTTCACTTTAATGTCATTACAGGCTTTTCTTTTGTTATTTTTCCAGCAAGAGATGCTATTTAAGCTCCCTTTCATATCAGCTCTGGCCCTGGTCATGTGATTTGCTTGGGTCAATGTCACACTGACAAACATAAAATAAGCAAAGGTTTAATAGGTGTTTTGTGTCAGAAACACCTATTGTGGGGTTCTGTCCTGAGACTGCTATGGTACAACTTCAGTCTTACAGAGGATGGAAGGTCACATAGACAAGAACCAAGGCATTCCTGCCAACAGCTGGTACCAGCTGTCAGACACATTAGGCCATTCCACAGCCAGCATCTGAATCTGATACATAAGCAAGCCTCAGGGAGTCTGTCCTCAGGGACAGACCTACAGAACTGCCCAGCCAACCCACAGAATTATTAAGAAAAAAACAAATTCATTGGGTCTTTTAAAACAGTAAATTTGGGGCTAGTTTTTAGACAGAAACAGATAACTGATTACTGTTTCTCTCCTCATTAATGTAATCTGTTTCATAAGATACCCTGCTGAAAACAGATGTATTACTTTTTAAGTGAAATGACTATTTACTGAACCATTTGAGAGTAAATTCCTTTTATTTATGCATTTCTCTTGAACTTTATCAGAAAATTTTGGAGCAAGCAAATTCTTTGGCTAATGATATATTCCCTGAAAGGAAAAAGCACTAAGAGAAGGTAAAAATATTATCATTAAAATACTAGGAGAAAGTAAGAATATTATCACTTTTTAGGGGAAAGAAGACATATTACTATGGTTTCAAATTGACATCAACTGTAACAGACTTAAGATTATTTTCTCAGAATTTTTTTATGCTTAATTCACGTGAAAATCACAAATAATAAAACAAGAAACAAACATAATTCTAGGAATATCAATATAAAGTTTCATAACAGATAGGCTTTGGAAAAGAATATCATGTCATTAGATTGAGGAAATAGAGCAGTTTTTAAAATGGATTTGTTGATTCAAAATGCTAGGACTCCTTATTGCTAGAAAGATTCTGAATATTGAGTTAAGTTTGCTTCACAGATTAAAAATTCATTGTATATAAACCTAATTGAGAAACTGACTTCATTATATTAAGTTGATTGATTTCCAACACATCCCCAGACTAGTGAATAAAATAAACAGTGCAATCACACGTAAATTACAATATTTAACCAATAACGGTATAGGAATGGGCACATTGACATTGACACATAGTGACACCAAAAACCATCTGAATATTCAATAGCATGAGAAAACCATGAGAAACTGGGTTAGGAGAGGGGAAGCACAATACCTGTCATAACTGTGGGTTCTTTGCAAAGATTGAAAATTTTAACAACTGGGAGAGGGTCAGAAAACTGGGACTTTTTCTGACAAAAAAAAAAAAGAAAGAAAGAAATGGAGACAAGGACAGCAGGTGGCATTCTAGTTTGGGACTATCATATTCCTTATTCCTACCATCTGGGAGGTCATCATATTAGAAATGCTTTTAATTCTTAGAGGGAAAAGAGTTCTGTTATTCTTTTATATGATTATACATCAAAGCTTCTTTTCACTATTTTTGGTAATAGCTTCCACGTTCTAACGGAAAATACTTGTATTTTAAAAGAGTAGGCTTAAAGAGCTCTGTGGTTTATTGTTTAACACAGAATGTTATTTAGCCATATTTTACACCATTTTACAACTAAAGGTGGTCGAGTTACAAAAAAAAGGCCAGGGTTATTCTTTCACATTAAGGAGTAAAAGAGGAAACAAGGCTAGAAGTGGAGATGACTTAGATCTGTGTAGCATGTCTCATCTGGGTTTATGCCCAGACTTAGCCAGCTAGGACTGTGGGTGCCCAGCTCCTTGGAGCAGCTGGATTCAGGGGGCCTAGGCTTTATGTTTCCAATGTCAACTTTTCCCTCTACCCTGAGATTAGATCCACCAGTATTATATATTTCCTAACACTTATCAAGTTCTAATATTGACTAATGTTCTGGTATTTAACATTTTCTTAGCATTAGCTTTTTCATGACTTCTTGCAATGAATTTATGCTATTTCTCCTACTGATTTAAGTATCCATATTAAAATGAGATAAAAATTCACTTAAACAAAAATTACTATATGCTTTCTCCCTGGATAAATAACAACTTAAGAAATTAAACATAAACTGATTGAATTTCTCCCCTCCCTACTTCAGTCCTTTGGCCTATCATTGTTTTCTGTTGTTTATTTTTTGTTTTATCATTTTGCCTAGCTACTCAGGAGGCTGAGATCTGAGGATAGCAGTTCAAAGCCAGCTCAGGAAAGTCGGTAAGACTCTTATCTCCAACAAACCACTCAGAAAACTGAAAGTGGCGCTGTGGCTCAAGTGGTAGAGTGCTTGCCTTGAGATGAAGAGCTGAGGGACAGCGCCCAGGCCCAGAGTCCAAGTCCCATGACCGACAAAAAAGAAAAAGAAAGAAAGAAAAGAAATGGGAGAAGCTTTATTTCTGGGATCCATGTTTCTCCTTTAGAAACAAACCACCTAATCTCTTTAAGAGCTGGAATTCCTACTTTAAAAGGGTTGTTGAAAGGACAAAAACAAGACAATCTTATGAAAATGTAAAAGCACAGTCACCACTCAACAGATCTAAGTATTAGCTTGTGTATTCATCTATGCAGAATATAGCCCCTGACTTTGGAGGACAAGGTAGCTCTGCAAGGAGTGGGTGATTTATTGAAAGAACGTTATAAACTCTTCAGATGTGATGCAGAATTTTATGCTCGTGCATGTGGTATCTTCTTCCACGATAATACATCACAGTGTGCATCAAGATCTGGAAAGGGCGCATGACCCCGAATCGTCCCGGAACCAGTAGAGAAATTAAAAGTTTTGTACACACACACCACACACAACAACCTGAGGAAAGGCCTCAGGTCATTTGAGAGGAAAAAGGGATTACCTGAGGGTCTAGGCCTGTCTCCTTCCTCCCCTCGAGCTCAGGCAGCCGGCCTGGGTTTTGAGCGTCTTCCTAAATATGCCCACAAAATTCAGCATCAGAGGAGAAGGGTGGAGAATCCTCAGCAAATGGCGGGAACCGGGCTTCAAAACTGGCGCGGGGGCGGGACCAACGTGGGGCGGGGCTACCGCAACCGGAAGGCGAGCTCCACGCAGAGCCTGGAGGGGTGTGGCGTTCTTCAGGAGGCGGGGCCGGAACGGGGCGGGGCTGAGGAGACGACGCGACCTGGGAAGAGGGACCAGGGAAAGAGGGCGTGGCTTGGCGGAGCAGGAGGCGTGGCCTGCCGAGACGTGGCTGGCAGGAGGGGGCGTGGCTTCTGGAGGAGGCCTACTTAGCCACTCATCTCTACCAGCTGCTGCCTTGTTAAAGCCTAAGTGGTAGCAGCAAGTTGCCTACGGCGAGCGAGCCCGTGTTTGCAGTTCGGTGGATCAGTGCGATCTGAGCGGTGAGTGCGACCCTCACCCCTCTGGCCCCCTCCGCGGGCTCCCTAGGCCGGCTCCCTCATCCTCTCAAGGTTTTGCAGCTGCCTGGTGGAAGCCGAGGAGACAGGCCCTCCGGGCGGCGGATCCTTTGTTTTGCTTGTGTTCTGCGGGGCGAGCCGTGAAGGCAGCGGCGTGACGCTCCAGCCGGGGAGCGGGGTCTGGGGCTGAGGAACCGGGAGACCCGGGCAGGTGGGCAGCGTGGTGAGTGCCGCCCGCGGAGCCTGGAGAGCGAGGCTGGACTGTAGATCTCGGCGTCAGGGTGCCGGACGGAGGAACAGGGTACAGGGCCTGGGTTCCCGCGGGCCAGGCCTCGGATCCAGAGACCACCTACGGGTGCAGCGGTGGATAGGCCAGAGCCACCGAGCTCAGGAAGCTGGTGGCAGCCCGGTGCACGCCGAGACAAACCGGCTGCAAGAACTGCAGGCCGAGGCGTGGATCGGAAAGGGAGGAGTGAGGGAAATGGCTCAGGAAAACATGGCCCCAGGGCGAGAGGCCTCCCGTTATTGCAGGTAGGTTTCGTCTGGGGCCTGGATTTTTCTAGGATCGATTGTGTTGTAGTTTCTTCAAGATGCTCATTTGGAAGCACTTTGGAATCGTGAATCCTTCTCATTGTTCTGTTGGGTCAAAGTCACTCTAGGAGCTGCCTTGGCATCTCAGACCAGGTTGGATTAGAGGGCCTTTCTAGTCACTCTTGTTCTTAGTGGGTCTGCTCTCAAGCCTAACTTGAACATCTGGGACTTTACCCCATTCTTAGTAAGCGTCACCCAGAATCCAACGGTCCCTCACCGCTACTCCTCCCCTACCCCATTTCTTCCACCATGAGTCACAAGACCTTTGCAGACCTCCTGCTAGATGTGTGTATGTCTGTCCATCTCTGGTTTCTGCCAATTTGTGCTCTCTAAGTGCATCAGCTTCCTGGCTGGGCTCTCTTAACTTACACCTCTCTAGGCTATTCTTTAAATGTGAAACTATAGAATAGACCCTATCCCTTAACTTAGTTAACAAGGCCAAACGTTTATTGGGTCCTGAATAACCTCCTCTGTCTTATCCTTTACCTTAGTGTCCTTTCAGTTTCTGAACAGATATGTGCTTACCTTCTTACCTATTCTCTGCTTAGTACTTTTGCATTCTCTTTCTCCCCATAGAATTGACTTACAAGTAGGAACGAGTTAGGAGTCTGTTCTCATTTAACATCTCCAAGGTTAAGTAAGTCTTCCTATCCTTTTGCACCAGACATTTCCTAACAGGAATGTGCCACATCTTTCATATTTGCATATTTACTATCTTTCCTACTACACTGTAAGCAAACACCAAGAGAGACTAGTTTATTTATCATGGTGTACCTTATTGACCCATTTCCTTATAATTAGATCCTGACACACGTGAGTGCTTGTCCACTGGTTTTTATTAAAACATGCTTTTTAATGACTATTCCCTATCTAAAAAAAAAAGTCAAATTTTATCCAGGCTACAGTATCTCAACGCTGTAAACTAGCTAGTCAGGCTGAGATCTAAGGATCACTGAAGCTAGCCTAGAAAGGAAAAAATCATAAGACTCTTAACCACCAAAAAGCTGGAAGTGAAGCTGTGGATCAAGTGGTAGAGTTCCAACCTTGAGCAAAAAAGCTAAGGGACATGGTCCAGAACCTATGTTCTGCGCGTGCACACACACACACACACACACACACAAAGTTGATTTACAGTTACATAGTAATTTAGAATTAATACATGTGGATTAAAAAATGTTAGCAATCAAATATGGGAACATTGTAATAGTTGCAGTGCTTATGGCAGCTACCAGAGATGCTAAGCAAGCTGGTTAGATAAGTGTCAGAATGTGCTTAGCCACTTTGTGCTTTTGTCACCACATAAATATAAGCTTGGCTTCAGTTGGGAAAAGTAAAAAGACCAAACTCTTGCACAAAGCATCATGTCTTTTTCTGATTTGTAGCACAAAGTCAGATGCTCTGCATAAGCATCTTCCTGGTTCTGTAGACCATGCCGAGAAAAGGCTGGTTTTATTTGTTCCTATATTACAGTTGAACTTAGCTTATTCTGTGTTTAATTTTCCTTTCCAGTTTGAGTGTTTTCCTTTAAGTATTGAAAGACTGACTTTACCAAGCCCAGTGACAATAATAGCTAGTTCAGTGATTTTTTATGGCAATGAAATTTTATTCCCTTTTTCTATTAGCATACATTAGCTATACAAGGGGAGATTTCATTGTGCCATTTCCCTGCATGTGTACAACTTACTCCAACCAATCTGAACAGTCTATCACTTGGCCTTGCTCTCTTCCCCACTTCCTAATAAAGTTTCATTAGGTTCCACTTTCATCCATGTCAACAATCTATTTCAGCCACAGTTATCCTCCTTCACCCTTGTTAGCCCAATGCTCTCTCACTAGTGCTCTCTTTTCTCTTCCCCCAACCCCTACCAATCATCACATTTCATTGAGGTTCTTTATACTGTTTATTATGTACAATTACAGTGAATCTCAAAATTATATATGTATGTATATATATATATGTATACATATATCTACATTTATTTTTCCCCTAACCCCTCTACTTCCTAAGTAGTCCCTCAGATATATTCTATGTTTATCCATGTATATAGTTATCTATACAGGTATATGTGTATTCTATGTACATATGTATATGCATGTCTGCCCATGGAGATATATGTATGTCTTCCCATGGAGAGATATATATGGGCAGACATGCATATACATATATGTACATGCACACATATACATATATACCTATATACTGCCACCTATGAGCAAAAACCTATGATAACTATTTTTTGGTCAGTCATGGGGCCTGAACTCTGAGCCTGGGCACTGTCCCCCAGTTCTACAGCTCAAGGCTAGTGTCCCTCAGCTCTTCAGCTCAAGGTTAGTGCTCTGCCACTTGAGCCACAGCACCACTACTGATTCTTTTCTGCTTATGTGGTGCTGAGGAATCAAACCCAGGGCCTCATGCATGCAAGGCAAGCACTCTACCACTAAGCATGTCTTGTCTTACCAGTTCAATTATTTTTTATATGTCCCCAAAGAAATTCAGACACCAGATAGGACAGATTGGGTACAACCTGTACTACATTTCAACTGAAATCTTTTCTTACCCAATCTATTGTTCAACAAGAGTGCTTTCTGTTTCATTTACTTCATCTGGAAATCAAACTGCTTTTAAGACTTAGTTCTCACTGGTTGGCAATGAGTGTAATCAATTGTTTCACAGAGATAGAGTCTTCCCAGAAGTCATACTGGACTTGACTCTACCTTTTGTACGGAAGTAAGTAGCAATGTAGATGGAATGCTTAGCAGGAAACCTGTGCATTGCATTTAGAAGTAAGTTGCCCAGTGGCACCAGTTACACTATAATCATCTTTTCTATTTTCTTCATTGCTTAAATAGAGTAAATGCTCTTTCAGTTGGCTCTTCATATATGTAGGTTCTGCCAACCATAATCCTAGCTGCTCAGGAGGCTAAGATCTGAAGATTGTACTTCAAAGCCAACTGGTGCAGGAAAGTCTGAGTCTTTGAGACTCCTATCTGTAATTAGCAACCGAAAAGCCAATTAACCACCAAAAAACCACGGTGGCTTCACTTTTTTTGGGGGGGGGGGAGAGGGGGCAGGGGGGACTGGTCCTAGAGCTTGAACTCAGGTCCTGAGTGCCTTTTGCTCAAGGCTAACACTTGAGCTACAGCTCCATTTCCAGCTTTTTTGGTAGCTAATTGGAGATAAGAGTCTCAGTCTGGACTTTCCTGCCCAGAGTAGCTTCAAAACATGATCCTCAGCTCTCAGCCTTCTGAGTAGGTAGGATTTTAAGTGTGAGCTTTCTACTTTTTTCTTTTTTCTCTCTCTCTCTCTTTTTCTTTTTTCTTTTTGTCAGTCATGGGGCTTGAATTCTGGGCCTGGGCACTGTCCTTGAGCTCTTCAGCTCAAGGCTAGCACTCTACCCCTTGAGCCACAGTGCCACTTCTGGTTTTCTGAATGGTTTATAGAGCTAAGAGTTCTCACAGACTTTCCTTCCCAGACTGGCTTTGAATTGCTATCCTCAGATCTCAGTCTCCTGAGTAGCTAGGCTTATAGGCATAAGCTACCGGTGCCTGGCTTCTTCTTTTTTTCTTAAGCAAAAAAGCTAGGAAAGCATCCAGATCCTAAATTCAAGCCCCAATACTGACACCTAAATAAATAAATAACTAAATATCTTTTAGTTCAGTGTTTAGCCTATGTAAGCTTGGAGCAGAAGGATGTTGTTCCTTTCTTTGGCTGCTTTTTTGGTAAATCGTACTCTTAAATCTTTGAAAGTATATTCATGGAAATGTTCGAAAATAAACTATGTTGATTATTCTATCTCATTCTGAGATTTCAAAAATCACTAGAGCAGAGACTAAGTTTTATTCCTGACCTCAGCATTTCCCTGTAGGACAGACACCAGGAACTGCATAATGATTGGGGACAGATTTCTTCCTCAAGGTTCACTAAAACTGGTTTGACTCATTTACATCTCATTTACAAATCCCATAGAAAACTCCTTCTTACATAACAGGCTGTTTGTCCTTTATATCAAAATGTTAACATAGTATAGCTTAAGATAGAGATTTCAATCTTAGAAATTAATTTTCATTCCTCTGTTTTAATTCCACAGATAATCTATTCTATTTTACCCCTACTATTGCAATGAGTTACTGGCTAACCATTATGTAAGTAGGGAAAACATTCCAGCTTTTTACCTCTTTAGGAAAACACAGCTTGAAATGTTTAAATATCTACTTCAGAGTGACAGTAAATTTCTCCTGACAATGTATGTAATCTTTTGAATATCTGTTATATCTTCAGTGCCGAGGAGAGGTAGAAAGTAGAGAATTTTGAGGCATAAGTCCTAAGTTCCTATCTAATCAGTTCCTATCAGTCAGTGGTTTTCTACAAATTCCCTGTAATATCGTTAGATTTTTTTTCCTTCTGCTGTCAGCATCTTAAATTGGTGCAAAGAATTACATACATCAACACAGCAAGAACTAATTAATGTTAAAGCCATGGCCGTGCCAGGATATATGCTTTTAAGCATCTATTGTGTATTTTCTCTATAGTTGACAATGTTCGTTGTCAAATGAAAATACAGAAGCCTAAACTCCTGTAACCATGTAGGACAGTGAATATTTCCCTTAGGAGGTAATATTTTGGCTTCCTAAGATGAGATCACTAGCCCTAGAATAATATATATTCAGCGAGGCATTAGCTAATGGGGATGATGTAATGCTAAGTGTACCACTTTAGGGAGCTCAGCAGGAAGCAGAGCTCATCTCCCAAGTGAGAACTGAGTGTGTCATATGGGGAAAGTCCATGACAAATAGAGAGCAAGTGTGCACATGTGTGGTGCTAGATGACCTTATTTACCCCAGAGTCAAATTTTCATTAAGATCAAGTGATAACTGAGAAGATATGTATCATTCACATGCTGATAATGAAGGAAGTAAAGTACCTTAATAGAATTTTGTTCCTGAGAAATCCTCATCAAATAGGATGATGCTATGTTAACTCCTATTCTAAAAGAATTAGTGGTTTTTTTCTTTTATCTACCAACTACTTTGCTAAAAGATAAGTATCTGTCTCTTGCCTAATATTGGAAATAGTCAAATGGTAATTATTTGAGTTAAGACTGAAACATTAATTGCAGGCTTAAGACTGTTAATTGCAGTGAAGAGCTGTCTCTGTTCTTACTGAGGCTCAAGCTTTTCCTTATATAAGTTGTATTTACCCTCTCATAGATACAGTCTACAGCATCACTGTACATCTCCAATCTTGATCATCCCCTCATTGTCTTTTGCCTAGACTATTCCAAAAGTTTTTCATACTGACTTTCATACTGGTTTTCATACTGACTTTCTATAGTTGATTGTCTACTCAGCAGCCAAAGTGATTTTTTTAAGCATGCTGTTTGTTTTTCCACTTAATGTGTTCCAATAATAGCTGGGCGTGGTAGCATATACCTGTAATCTGAACACTGAAGAGGAAGAGATTAGGTGATCTTGAACTAAGCTGGGGGCTACATAGGAAGTTCAAGACCAGCCTAGGACTTTCTTAAGACCCAGTGTCAAAGAAAGCAAAAACAAACCAAAAGTAGAATAGAATCAAAGATCTTCTTAATTCCAAAGACATTATGATATCTTATCTTTCCTTTGTTATCTCCCTCCAGTCCTTGATAAACTAATCAAACTGGTCTCTCCAGAGTTTCAATACAGTAAATTCTTGCTGGCCTTCCCCCAAGAAGGACAACCTCTAATTGCTGTCTCTATATTATTTAGATATCTGTCAATCACCAAAGGTGATTATTGCCTGGGCTACCCTATTTTATGTTTTTTTCTCATAGCTCCTACCAGACTCTATCAATCTGTAACCACTCTTCCTCTCTAGAATGAGAGTTTCTTGAAGGTAGGAACTCTATCTTGTCTTTTGTCAAAGTACTCATAATGGTTCCTGATATAAAATATGTGCTTTCTAAAAGCTCAATAACTGACTAAAAGATGGTGTTGCTCAGGTATGCTCACAACCTCCTGTGGTTATCTAGAAAACCTATAGGAAGGAACATGGTAGAAAAGCAAAGAGCCTTCATAGCAATACAAAACACAGGCTAGAAGAAGGTATAACTCTCCCATCTGTGGTTAAATTGAAACAGTGAGAATTCCTCTGCTCTGCCTTTTTCCCCACCAGAAACAAGACAGGAGGAGTGGGGGAGGGAAAGAAACTGAGCTTTGGGGAAGGGAGAGAGGAGAGAGTTACCTTTTCCTAAAAACCTTTCATGGAGAAGCTTAATACAGCTTTGGTTTGGGAAAATAAAGTTCTGGAGGGAATAGCCTGCACAACAGTGTGACTGCACTTAATGTCACTGAATGAGCTGTGCAATTGCAAACAGAAATATTTGAAATACATTGCATTACAATTTACAAATTTTAAAAAGCAGAAGCCAAGTGCTTCTATAATCCTAGCTATAATCCATGGCTAAGTTTCTAAGGATCAAGTTCAAAGCCAGCCCAGCAGAATATTCTGTGAGACTTATCTCCAGTTAGCCAGCAAAAAAACAAAAAACAAAAAAAAACTGAAGTAGATCTATAATATTTCTGATTTTAGGGCAGGAGTAAGGTTAAAGGTATTTTGATTGAAATATTTGACATAAGCAGGGCTTCTAGAGTCTAGAGAAATTCATTTAGGATTTCTGTGTGTGTGTGTGTGTGTGTGTGTGTGTGTGTGTGTGTGTGTGTGTGCACGCGTGTGCACGCATGTGCACATGCTTCTCTCTGCTTACTTTTTCCTCTATGTAACTTAGTGAGAGAGACCACCATAACAAGTACCTTTGCTTCTGGAAAGCTAGAGAATATCTAGTGGAACTCTTGAAAGAAAAGTAGTCAGGGACTAGTTCCCTCAGCCCCATAAAGGCAAAGGGCTGTGTCTTCTGTCTGTGACCTGTGACAGTGAGTTAATCACTAGACTTTCCTGGCTAGAATTACTGGGAAGAGTATATATGAAATGCCTAGCAAACCTAATAATACAGGAAGTGGCAACTGCTTTGATTATAAGGACTTTTTACCGTGTGAATGTAGCTGTCCTGCTGAAATGAAGGAACTTTTAGGTTTTACTTTTAGGTTTCCTAGGCCATTCTACCACTCTACATGAGAAGCTGGAACTGTGAAGTCCAGTTTAAGAATAAAGTTATATGGTGGTTTGGTACAGAATCTCTTGGGAATTTAACCATTGCAATAAAGTATTATGTGAAGTATGCCATCGTGGAAAGTTTTTAGGATTTTTTTTTAACTCTGTTGAGTTGGAAGCTGAGTTCCTATGAAGACCTGATTTGTTGCATGGTAATGGAAAGAAACTGCAGTCTGTTCAGCTGGCAGAGATACTGCAGCTGGGAATTTTAAAAAAATCACCAATTAAGGAAGAATGAAGGGAGGAGGAGTTAAACTTTATGCAAATGAACCTACTCCCCAGGTCTGACAGGAATCAGACAATACAGGCAAATGAAGAATATTCGGAGAAATAACCACTGTGATTAATGCTGTGGTTTTATAATGGCTGACTGTCTTCACTAACTTTTGTTTTCTTTATGTTCCAGTTAAGACAAGTAGCCATGGAGAACTCTGAAAATTCAGTGGATTCAAAATCCATTAAAACATTTGAAACGTGAGTATTAAAAATGAATCCTGTATAGTCAAAGAAAGATGAGTATGCGTAGTACAGAAGACTTGGAGGAATGTGGAGGTGGAAAGTACGCAGGCCTAGCCAGGTGCTGGTGGCTCATGCCTGTAATCCTTGCTACTCAGGAGGCTGAAATCTGAATATCGAAGTTCAGATCCAGCCCAGGCAAGAAAGTCTGTAAGACTCTTATCTCCAATTTACTACCAGAAAATCAGAAATGACAGTATGGCTCAAAGTGGTAGAACGCTAGCTTTGGGTGAAAAAGCTCAGGGACAGTGCCCAGGCCCTGAGTTCAAGGCCCACAACTGACACATATAAAAAAGAAAGAATACAAACTTTCAAGCCAGAACCCAAACTCACTTTCTACCTCAGCTCTCTGACTTTACTTTACTCCAGTCTCTCAACTTCCTCATGAAATGGGGAGGAAGAAAGGAAAATGCTTGACCTAATAAACCCTGTGGGTTTTATGGAGCCATAATTGGAATCTAGTCCCTAGAAACAGAAAGACTCGGGCTGGGAAGGTGGCTCAGTGGTAGAGCACTTGCCTTGCATGCATGAGGCCCTTGGTTCGATTCCTCAGCACCACATAAGCAAAAAGAAAAAAAGCCAGAAGTGATGCTGTGGCTCAAGTGGTAGAGCACTAGCCTTGAGCTGAAGAGCTGAGGGACAGCGCCCAGGCCCAGGACCAACCCCCCACCCCCAAAAAAAAGAAACAGACTCTGTTCCCTTCCCCTCCTCTCTACCTCTCCACCCTTCCCAGACAGAACACATCCCTCAGGGTATTTTGAACTTTCCCAAGTCACTACCCAGAGAGGTTGGTTTTGTGTCTTCACCTCTTGTTTATAGGTTTTAAGACAAAAATGCAATTCTAGTTTTTCAGTCTGGGAATATGTGCCTTGTTGAAGATCATCTTTTATCCTTCGTTGTTCTTTTGTTTTCTTTTTTGTGCTTAGTATTGCTTCTCATAACTGGCAGACAGTAAAAAAAAAAAAAAAAAAAAAAAGAGCAAACTAAACCTCAAATAATCTCCATTTAATCCATGTCTGTTACTACCTGTGTGAGAACTTGTATGACATTCAGTATCTTGAGGTGATCAGCACAAATGTAAAATCTCATACTGTACTCCACAAAGATGGACAATGGTTGTCTTTTATAATTTTATTGTCTTTTTTTTAAAAGCAGAGTTTATTTCTGAGACCCATTTTTATTATTCTATTCTTAGGATTTTGAACTAATGTCTCCTTGCCTCTTTCTTTTTTTCTTTCAAATGATTTGAGATAGATAGTACAGGCCAGCTTTGAACTAGAGATCCTCCTGTCCCAGCTTCCCTTTAATACCCTTTAAGAAAATGTTTTAGTGACCCTAATTTGTTCAGCTCATGAAGTTTGACAAATAATTTAGTGGTTTCCAATCATCTCAAGGTAATTTTACTCTTACCTTGAAAATGAACTATTTTATAAAGTTATAAGAAAATGTTAAATTATAAAGTATGTTTGATGAAATTTTACTAAAACCTAAAGGAAAGCCTTCAGCCTTAACCCTGAAGTGGGTCATTGTGAAATTAATTAACTGTATCCACCTATCTGTATGTGATGTGCTAGAGATGACACCCAATGTTGTGATTTAAACAAGGAAAAATCTGTAGCACAAAGTCTGGTATATAGTCTTAAGCAAAAGTTAACTGTTGTTACGAGTCATAAAAGTTGTATTCATGGAGTAATCCTTTCTCCCTTTGTAACCTGTTGTTTGATTTCCATACAGAAAGATCATCCATGGCAGCAAATCAATGGACTCTGGCATATCCTTGGATAATAGTTACAAAATGGATTATCCTGAAATGGGTGTATGTATAATAATTAATAATAAGAACTTTGATAAAAGCACAGGTATGTACCTTAACATGATTTGTCCTATGTCATTTGTTTTTGATTTGATATAGAAAGCCATACTGATGTGTTTATTGTATTGGTCAGTGAAGTGAGTTATTAGTGAATTATTAGTGAAGTAAACTATCAAGTAGAGAGAAGGCAGGGCCTTCTCTATAATGCCATATGAACTGAGGAAATGTGTTTGTAGGCTTTCCCTTCGCAGGATCTCTAGTTTCGTAGGATCTCTAGTTTCGTTCATAGCTGGTCTCCATTCTGTGCTTTTACACTACTTTGGAGAGGGAGGCAGTAGTACTGAACAGCTTGAGCCATGCTCTAGCTCACTTTTGCTTTAGTTTTTCCAGAATGGTGTTATATTTTTGCCCAGGACATTAGAACCAGATTCTCCTTCCTGTGTAGCTAGGATCACTGGCAGCGCCACCACACTCAGCTTATTAAAATGGTATCCCACTAACTCCTACGCTGGCCACTAACGCTGATGCTCCTGAGCTCCACCTCCCTAGTAGCTGGAATTACAGACATGAACTACCATGACCAGCTACAACTACTTTTTAATTGTGATCTGGTTTCCTAACCTGAGAGTAAGGAGTGCACAGGGGGAGGAGTTGTTTTGAACAAACTCTACAGTTACTAATTAAGACATGGAACAGGGTGTGGGGAGAAAACAGAGTTCTACTTATAAATAGAAAGAAGGAAGAGAAGGGAGGAGGAGGGAGCCTTAAGGTATAGCCCCACTTCTGACAGCCAGCCCTATCTGTGAGCCTCACTTCTGTATCTGCAACCCTTCCTTCTTTCCCCTCTCCTCTTTTATACCAGTGAAAAGTTCTTGACAAGTTGTCTTGTTTGAATTCTTTCCAGAACCTACTGGGCAGCTCCTTATTTGAATAGTAACTCTGAAAAGTAGCTAGGGTTCTATGCTGAGAGCTTGGAAAGCTGTCAGACACAAGGGGGTTGGGGGTGTGTGGGTGTGGATGTTGTTCACTATCAGGTCCGGGGCTGAGGGCTGCGGGCTGGGCCTTGGTCTGCCTGTCTGCGACGCCAGTGCAAGCTCTTACTCCACCCTCTGTTCTGTTTTTCTTCCTTATATCTTCCTTTGCTTGATTGCCCTTTCCTCTGAGCCTAAGAGGAAGACAAAGACCTTGCACATTGAAGAAGCTTTTCCCTTAAGCTTTGGTCAGATATTTGTTCTTTCTTCCCTAAATTTTGAATAGAGTCTCATGCTATCTTGAGGCTTTTTTGCACAAGGCAAGTGCTCTACCACTTGAGCCGTACGTCTACTTTAGGCCTTTTGTTGGTTAGAGATAAGAGTCCTGTGCTGGTTGCTTTTATATCTTGATCCTCATATCTCATTCTCTGGTGGTATTACTGGTGTATTCATTTCTAGATATTCACTGGAGTTTATTTCTCGGTTTTTCTGTCTCTCCCACTGAAATGGCTCTCTTTAAGTTCAGCATGGCCTAAGCACCATAAGAGAATATAGAAAAATATAGAAAATAAAACCCTTCACAATACCCAAAAGTTAATTTATTATATTGCTTTTAATTATCATGATAGTTTTATTTTGTGTATAAAATCCATACAATGTAGCATTCTGCTTATTCCACTTAATATAAGCATTTTTGATGTTGCTATGTAGTTTTTTGGTCTGTCATTTTAGTGGGTATATGACTGTATGTTCTAAATATATTTTTTGTCTAATTTGTATAACTTACTGTAATAATAAGCATTTGGGCAATCTTCCTATTTTTCTTCTTTAAGATGAAGATGAAGCTATGATCATTCTTTGAAGTAGTTAGTAATTATATTAGAATTAATTTTTTAATTTGAGAAACTAGATCTGGGAGGAAGTCATGATACACCAGGAAAAAATCACCAGGACTTGTAGAATAGTTGAAAGAGTCAGAATGATAGTTGGAAGCGGGTACTAAACCTCCACAGCATTATGTTTATTGCTTTTAGCTATAACTCCTGCACAGCATTATGTTTATTGCTTTTAGCTATAACTCTTCCACAGCATTAGGTTGATTGCTTTTAGCTATAACTTGATTTTGTTTTAGCCAGTTCTGGGGCTTGGACTCATTTTTGCACACTCATTTGGCTTTTTCGCCCAAGGCTGGTGCTCTATCACTTGAGCCACTCCTCCACTTCCTAGCTGTAACTTTAAAATACCAACTTTAACTATGAAATAACAGACAAAATGCTTCATTTCTTTTTGTTTTATGATTTTTTTTAAAGATTTTACCTACATTCTACCTCCTATTGCCAATAATAATATCTTCTTCCTGTACAATTTTCTTTGCCTTTTCTTTCTTTTTTCTTTCTTTCTGAAGCTTGTCATTATATTTCTTCCAAAAAATATTGGCTGAATGGCCTGACTTCTGTCTTAAAGTGAGCTCTTTTATCAGCTTGAAACTTAAAGGCTTTCTAGTCTATAAAGTAGCTGAACAAACCAGCCTCAGAACTCAACCGTCTTTCACACAGTACCACATCAGCCTCAGCCATTCTTTATAAGCACCTCCAGGAGTATATTTTAACTTCAGATGCACATAACAGAACTTTTAAAAATTAAAGATTAGCAGAGAGCAAAAAAAAAAAAAAAAAGCACTGACACATTCCTCAGAAACAAGATTTTTTGCTGTTGTTGTATGTTTCTATTGGATGAATATGGAAGTCTGGAGGGGAAAGGGGAAAGTATTCACTTTCTCATTTGTTTTCATTGCTTTGTAGACAGTCTTGCTATGTAAGTCATGATGTTCTGGAAGTCTTCTTAGGCTGATGGCTCAGCCTCCAGAGTGCTGGGATTACAAATGTATACCACCAAACCCAGCTTCCATATGTTTTAAAGATAGATACTTTAATATTCATACAGATTTTCAGGCGTGTTTCCCTCAGAATGTCAGCATTTCTTAATCTGAGTGCATCATGTAATAAATCTGTCCGTTATGTGGGGGGCATTAGAAAAGAACGACGAAAAGCTGTAGACCTGGGTATATAGACCTAACACCAACTTTCCCCTTGAACAAATTTCTTTTTTGAATTTCAAATCATTTTGAAACAATGACCATGGTCCCATGGCAAATTTTTGCCTTAAAAAATAGCAACCTAGGTGGGCATCAGTGATTTATGCCTGTAGTCCTAGCTACTCAGGAGGCCGAGATATGAGGATCACAGTTCAAAGTCAGCCCAGGCAAGAAAGTCCATGAGACTCTTACCTCCAATTAACTCCCAGAAAACCTGAGTGGAGCTGTGTCTCAAAGTAGTAGAGCACTAGTCTTGAAAGCAAAAGCTCAGAGACAGAGTCAAGGCCTTGAGTTCAAGCCCACCTAGCACCAGCACACACACCAAAAAATGGCAACCTAGTATTCTATTATGTAAATGTCTTAATTTATTAACAATCCCCTATGTGGGGGGATATTTAAGTTGGTTCTGGGTTTTTTTCCCATCCAAGCTGCTATGAAAGATATCCTTGAAGCACTAGCACTGAGACAGCTTTTACAATGAAATGTCTTACATGCTAAAAAAAAGAAAACTAAAGACACTTCGTATCACCATGATTAATTAGAATTTTCTTAGCATTTAAAATGAAGAATTTGTTGATTGTGTGAATTGCTAGGTCATTCATTTCATTTCAAAGTGATTCTCTTCTTTTGAAATGAATTAAAAGTGATTCTTTCTGTTCCAGGAATGTCACCTCGGTCTGGTACAGATGTAGACGCAGCAAACCTCAGAGAAACATTCCTGAACTTAAAATACGAAGTCAGGAATAAAAATGACCTTACACGTGAAGAAATTGTAGAATTACTGTACAATGGTAAGAAATAAGAAGAATTTTAATTCATGCCAACTCCCTAAAATTATTTCAGGTATGTGACTATGCCCAAGTTGGGTTCTCCTTGTAGTGTCTTTATCCTACCACATTTGGAGTTAATGCCTATAATCATAGCACTCATAGAGCTGGGCAGAAGAATTAAGAGATGGAGACCCAGCCTATATTACTTAGTAAGACCCTGTCTCAAAAAATCAAGAAACAAAACAAAACATCGAAAATTCATCATCTTGTTCTCATAGTTTATCTGAGATTGTTGAAAAAAGTTGGAAATATTTTTTTTCTTATGTCTTTCCAGTTTCTAAAGAAGATCATAGCAAAAGGAGCAGCTTTATTTGTGTAATTCTGAGCCATGGTGAGGAAGGAATAATTTTTGGAACAAATGGACCTGTTGAACTGAAAAAATTAACAAGTTTCTTCCGAGGAGATTATTGCAGAACTCTAGCTGGGAAACCTAAGCTTTTCATCTTTCAGGTCAGTTACAACTGAACATCATGGTGGAGTGTTAATCACAGATTCACTTCCTCAGTTGTAGATTATCCAGTAGATGAACTTTTTTGTCTTGAGGCTACTTTTGTATTTAAAACACTGCTTAGGAAGAATGAAGTGTATTTCAATTTTGGACTTTTATCTTCTATTTTTTTCACTGTCCTTATATTTCTCAGATACACATTTATGTGTATATACATCTTTAAAAAAATACAAATTGGGGGCTGGGAAGTTGGCTCAGTATAGAGCGCTTGGCTTGCATGCCTGAGGCCCTGGGTTCGATTCCTCAGCACCACATAAGCAAAAAGAAAAAAGCCAGAAGTGGTGCTGTGGCTAAAGTGATAGAGCACTAGCTTTGAGCTGAAGAGCTGAGGGACAGCGTTCAGGCCCAGAGTTCAGGCTCCACGACCGGAACCAAAAAAAAAAAAATACAAATTGACTTTCTAACCTGCAGGCCTGCCGGGGCACAGAACTAGACTGTGGCATTGAGACAGATAGTGGTACTGATGATGACATGCCATGCCAGAAAATACCAGTAGAGGCTGACTTCCTGTATGCATATTCCACAGCACCTGGTAAGAAAGTTACCAAAAGTAAATGTGGTGTAGGGATGTGTGTGTGTGTGTGTGTGTGTGTGTGTGACCAAAAGTAAATGTGATAGGGGTGTGTGTGTGTGTGCTTCCTGTATTCATATTCCACAGCACCTGGTAAGAATGTTACCAAAAGTAAATGTGATGTAAGGGTGTGTGTGTGTGTGTGTGTGTGTGTGTCCCCAAAAGTAAATGTGATAGGGGTGTGTGTGTGTGTGTGTGACATAACTATAGAGGTTAATAATAGTGTGACTATCAAAAAAAATAATAATAATAATAGTGTGACTATCACTGGATAGCCAGAGTCTATCAAGATTTCCATATCCCTAAAAATTAGCTAATCTGTCTATATTTTATAGTA